CTGGATACTTGTACACTGATTCCCAAGAGTGGTTTACCCTCTGTAGACACTCTTATAGTAAAAATACAATATTAAGCTCATTAATTATTATTGCCATTACAAGACTATTATCGAAACAATTGTTTGAAAATGATTTTATCAAATTCAGTCAGTTTGGTCCAACTAAGTCCCAACCCCATTGTAACGGTGTATAGCTATATGAATATCCGCAATACCGCCATACTTAATAAATGTAGGTGTTGACAGTAATCGTTCACACGAGGGGTTTTTTTTATTAAAACTTTCTTTGCGTTTTACGGATTCGTAAAGGCAGTAGTCATTAATTATAAAAAGCGTCACCATCGTTGAAAAACATATTGTTGTACATAAGGTCTCTTTGCATGGCACGTGAAATATTATTTAAACTAGCGCTAAAATATATTTAAAAAAAATAGAACGCCGTAAGTAAACTCTACCACGGCAAACGAAAATATCGAGAAAAATATGTTATCGTGCTTTGGTTTTTCCGTAGAGAAATAAAATACAGTACTCCGAAAACCACGACTGCCGAGTGTTCCTCGATAAGAAGTATTGTCATATTGTACCGGTAATACTATATTATATTTCAAGTTTAAACGAGGTCATGTCTTTTTCTCGGCCATTAGTGTTGCTGATTGTAGTGACAGCTGCTCTTTGGCAATACGGCGATTCTTGTACACGTCAAAAATACGCCGAGACATACACGGACGAATACTATGAAAAATTACTCGAAGTAGAAACGGGATATAATCACGAACGATCAGTACAAGTATATGAAGAACTGAAGAAAACTTCAATACAGGCGGCGATTGATGAGATTTATAAACATCTCCTGTGCAGTTATGTGCACATTTGTAGGCATTACATGAATGTGGTCAGACCTCTATGGGCCGAAGACGGTGACGATGCATTAGAAATTCTAGTTTACTACAATGAAGATACCGTGTGGTTATTTAAAGACCAAGTGGTCGACATGTTGAACGTCATGTATAATTTCGGTAAAATCGATTCTGTTGATCATTTATGGCTCATGTACATGTACACGAGCAATTTGAAGTCACTGGACAAAAACCGTCTACTAGACGATGAAGAAAAACGATTCCGTTTGTTGCGCGACCATGATGCCGTTTACCTGAGACTTGGACTATTCGTTCAGCGACATTGCAATATTCCAAACAATGATAACGTGTATGACGATGGTTACGTCGATTGTCGTTATTGTAAACCTCTGGAAAACCAATACTTGTTGGCCGCCGTACCAGTCCAAAACTCCGTGGTCGAACTCAAAGACATAATCCACGACAGAATCTCTGAAATAACTGAAACTATGACCATCGACGATTGTAAATTGTACTTTGCATTTGATCATTTGCTTCTGAAACCGGCAATTGACGATTACCCTACCTTGAGTCAATTATTGAAAGACTTTGCAGAAATCGCCGACGAATCGGAACGACAGACTACAACCCGTCTAATAAAGGATACCTGCTCCGGCAATAACAACGTCGAATCTTTTGAAATACTGGCCAACAATGTTGCTAAATGTCAAGATATTTTCACGAACCTTGTGAAATATGTTATGTTCTATATCACGTGGAAATACGTACGTGAAGTTGGATATTACTTACCGGAATCAGTAAACCCATTTAATGAGGAAGGCGAAAAATGGGAAAAGCCAGAAACTGCCATTCTTTGGATAAATGAGTACAGCTCGAAGATATTAAGCTACTTTTATGAAATTATAAGGTTTTTTAATTTGAAACTAGACAACGATCTAGAATTTATTGCTAGACTCTTTGATGCATCATCAGAATCCATGTTAGCCGATGTGGAAAAAAACAAAGAGCTTGAAAATACCGTTATGGCACATCTAATGGAAATAAATTCGATTAATTTTTTTTTCGACCAAAGTAACTTTACTACTGGTAAGTTCACCAAAACGTATTTTTCAAACCGGTGGTCCATGTTAGAATGTTATAATTCCTTTTGGGATAAATATAAATTTAGATTAAATCGGTGTGGGGATTTTGAGAGTCGATTTAGTTTTGCTATATTTGGGAAAGTTGTAGAACAGTCATTAAAAGCTATTGATTTTCAAGTAATAGCTTCATTTAATCGTTTTTCTGAATGGCAATGTTTATTTTAAAATAATGTTTTTATTAAATTTTAATTTATCTTAATTATATCAAAATTTTAAATCGTTTTCAAGTAGGATAAGCGATTTATTCGGTTTATAGTTAATGCTTTGTAAATTCTGATTTACCTTTTTCAATACAGTTTTTTCATATCATAATGATGTAATCATTTTTATTTTGTGACCTTACATGTTAAATAGAATATTCTTAGTTGTTATGAAAAATTATCATAATTTACCCAAAAACCTAACAGTCATAATATAATAATGTTATCAAAATAATTAATGTTGACAAATAAATAAAGTGCTCGATTTTAACTGGTTCTCATTTCTAATAACTATTTATTTATTATACCATTTTTACTAAATCAGCTCTAAATTGTACTATGAAATTATTCTCGATCAAATCAAAAAATGTAAGAAAAACACAATTATATGATACCTTTATGGAGGTAAAATCATTATCAATGGAATTCGATTCTCCATAGTATTACCAATTTATTACAATAACAATTAAACTTAGATTATTCATTATAGTTATCGATCAAGAAAAGTTATTCTTAAGATTGTTACTATCCACCCGCCACTTTCTATTCATCTACTTTTACGGTTCTAAAAATATTTGTATAATAATAATAAATTAACAAAAAAGTGTAATAAAATGTTCAAACCTAATACTAAACATACAATTGTTATTCACGTATAAAAGACAAATGTTATGTTGTGTAGCGTAACAGTAGAGCACATTAGACTAAACATATCAGTTATAAATTATGAGCAAATAGTACAGGTTAGAATATTATTATGATATTATAATATTCTATTTTTTACTAAAATAATTTTTAAATCTTCTATTGCATATCAACAGTACGAGCAGTGAACAGTTAGTTACAAACATTACACACTTAAATAATTATATATATTATTTTATATTTAATAATAAAATGTACGACAGACGAACGGACGAGTAGTTTTTGAGTTTGAGTTAGTAATTTAGGTGTTCTGGTATAATGTTATGCTTAAAGAAAAATTGGTAAGTTATAAATACTTAAGATCATGTATACATGAGAATGTAAGAAAGAAAGAATAGATATTGAGTAGAATAATGTGTAGTTGGATAATGTAGGAGTACAAACAAAGATGTTGTGTATGTGACAAAAAAAGTACAGCTTATGTGATGAGATGGTTTTGTAAAACAAAATGATACCAATAATGATGTGAGGTTTAGTTACTAAATAGGAGTGATAAAATGATGGGATGATATCTTAATTTTGAGATGCGAGTACGATAAAGTATTAGACAGAATATTAAAAAAAAAAAAAAAGAGCATAATTATATGAGACCAGAGTAGATTGATTGTAACAATAACTAGAAAAATAATGAGAAAGAGAGCAGATTGTAATGGCTTTAACATTTACAATGTCGGATGAATGAATGAAATATAAGCCTAATATGAGTTAATTCATTGCACCAAAAAATCTAAAACGACTTAAGTAAACATACTGAGGCTTGGGGAACAATGGAAAAAAATTGGTAAAGAAGAGGCTAACTTGCCATCGAAAATAATGACATAAATGAATTTGGAATACCACTCATAATTGTTGTAGCAGATGGTACATGGTCCAAGATCATACAAAGGTAACTACAAGGTGTTGTAAGTATATTTTTCTTAGGTTAGGTGTATTAAATTTATATTTGTTCCGTATTAGTTTGTTAAAAAATATGAATTTTAACCTACAAAATAATTTGTAAATTTTCACGATTTTTCTAAAATGACACTCAGAATCCACCTATGATGTTGATTATAGGAACAAATCTTAAGTTCTAAAACAACAAAAATAAAATAAATTAATTATTTAAAAAACACACACACTTTTGTAATATTAATATATTTCTCACTCTACTGAGGATTTCAAAAATAATTTACAAATTTATAAAAATTGAATAGGTATTGAATTAACTAAATTTTAAATATTGTTAAGCATCATTAATTTTTTATTAAAAAGAAAAGCGTGGGCCCTATTCAACGAAGTCCCTAATAAGTTAATCAAATAACATTTCAGATAATGTTTTATATTGTAAGATTTTTTTTGTAATTTAAATTTGGTTCGATATTAGTGTGTGTCACATACATTTCATAATACTCAACTCAATGAATTTGGACTTTGTTGAATAGGGTCCACGCTTTTCTTTTGAGTCAAAAATTAAAAATTTTAACTGTGTTTCAACCGTTGACAGTTGTTCGGTGAAGCATTAATCGAGTAGTGATTTTGTCAGTTTTTTGAAAAAATAATTCCAAAAGACCTCCCAGGGCAACAAAAAAAAATATCAAGTTTTTATACACGGACTTTTAAGTAGTAGTCATTGTCAAATTTGTCTTCATCTCATTTACTCGATTTTTGGAATGAAATATTTTCCAAAAAAAATCATATCTCTGAAACGTAATTACAATGTTTAATAATGCTATCTGGGATACTTTGACCCGAGGATTTGAAATTTAACAGTTTGTTTTTGTTGGGTATTTTTCAACTTGTACTCCGAATTATAAATACTGTAATATATTTTTTACCCATCCGGTGAACATTATTTACGGTTGAGTGTCACAAATAACGAATCAAATAATAATTATTCGATGATGCTGATTGCCGATTACATAGAAGTCACGGTGCTTACATTTTGCGTCTATCTACAAGTACAATGCACGACTAACTAGTGTATATTAAACACGTATGTCGCTATTTTGAAAAAAAAAAAATAATAAAACACAACTTGCTGTCGTCGAGTTCTATTCGCTCGAAATCAAATTGTTATTTTACCGTTGTAACTTTTGTACTTGCTTTGGTGTTAATCATGATTTCGCTTGCCATTGTACTCGTTTGTTGTGTTTTACAGACCACGGGGATCAAGCCGCCAACATACTTTCCGAATTTGCCAATGGTAATGTTTAAAAAAATGTTCTTTACATATTACTTCAGTGGTGTGTGTAAATATAACAATTGAAAAAACCAAAATAGCACAGTTTCCCGTTTAGTTTTGAAACACACGTCCGTTTTTATTGAAAACTGATTTTTCATGGGAAAAATTATCGAAATTTTTGGTAAAATTGGACTATTACTTACAAAGATAGTACAAAATGCGTTTTCCCCGGTAAATTTCCAAATGGACGTATCCGGTTGTTGCTCCCAAACTCATGAATGTCCGCTCAGCCGCAATTACCATTACAGGTATTACTTTTTTTTTAGCGTTTTTACAAAAAGCAGAATACAATGATAACTCAACCGGCGATGATTGACCGAAATCGTTTGCGTATTGTCGTTTTAACAATACCGTTTTGCCTTTAAGTTCTTTATCTGTTCTTTTTTTTTAATTATTTTACGCGTTGAAAATAAAAAAAAATTTTAAAACCTTCTGTAGACCTAAGGATTGGTTTTTAATTTGTTTTGCTACAATACCTAACAAAAAATTATAGGAAAAAACGTTTATTTCAAATAATTGTTTTGGACATCTCGTGCGATCAGTGTTTTTCTGGCAATCTTTTTTCTCTTATTACTAAAAGAAATTGAAATTCAGCTGTATCACTGTATTTTCTTTACGCTCAAGGTACATATTCATTTTATACTTGATTTATTTCAAACTAAACTACCAAACTTAAATTATACTTGAAAATTGTTCGGGTCGATCGTAATTGAAATTCTTTACCTCGTTTACTACCATTGGCGGGAAATAATTGGGTTCTGTATTTTCTTTGTACGTGACGGTCCAATTTTACTGTAATGCCAAAATGTAGATGATTTTTCCATGGAAATTTTGTCCACGAAAAACCAATTTAAATGATAAAAATTGTCGCCCTCGAGCCGAGGACCTACCGTTTTTGCTGTTTTAAACGGACAGAAAGGACTCTAGGACTCTATGACCTTGGGTATTTCCCTATTAACACCACTGATGTAGGTATTAGATTAACTCGAGAGTAACTAATTTGTATACATGTGATTTCCAGGGAGAGTATAAGTTGAAATTTAAAGCTGTGTTTCCGTGCGAATCTACCGAACGTCATAAGTTACAGTACAACACGTATTTAAGTAAAAAAAGTGTTAACGAATTCGAGCTAAAGGGCAACCTAACCTATTTCGTTCCGTTCGACGATTCGATTAGTGTGAGTTTATTACCTATTATTATTATTTATTTTTTTATTATTCTCATAATAAGTATGTTTATATGTATTATAATAAGAGCGAATAGACTTTTGCCGTTGAAAAGAAATTCAATGATTATGTATCATTACGATACCTACAATACGGTAATATAGCGATAAATGTATAATGTATGTATTTATAAAATAAAGCGTGGGGTTAAGTCGTGTCATTGACATTTTTGCGGCCCATCAATAAATCTCGGTATGTAATAGTATTGTCTATGTATATTATTTTTCTCTCTTTTGTCGAAATAACAAATTGGCCAATTAATAAGAGACATTTATTATTAACTAGCTCATAATCATCACGTCATTACCACGTCATTATTACATAATATAGCTTGCCTGAAAAATAATCTTTTTTAACATACTGTATAAAAATATTTTTAAAAGTATAATTTACTCACACACAATATTACATCTTAATTAATTATAATATAATATTAAAATTAGTTGAGAGAAAATATTTAAAGGTAAAAAGAAAACTATTAATGCACAGAGAAAAACACGAATCAAAAAAAAGAAGAAGAACATTGACAGTGTTGGCAACCTCATGTAACAAGCAAAACATTTGTTTGCTACATTGTTACATCTGTATCAAACAATTATTTTCATAAATAAAAAGAGCAATATTTTATTGTGTTTACTAAAAAAAATTCCATGAAAATCAGGTGAAGTATTCACTTATTGTTTTTTTCTCAGATCAATTAAATTTTAAGATCAACAATTATTTCCCCTAATTCGTTAATAGATGGATTTAACAATTGTTGGTAAATAAAACTGTTATACAATTTATTACTAAATATTAAATACCTACATAAGATTAATATTCATTTCACGGTGAATAGGTAATAATAAAACGAAAATATTGTCAAAACTAGAAAACTAAATTAACAATTCTTAATTTTTTTAATTCATATTTTGTATCTCCTTGACAAGCTCTTTCTAATGAGATTAGAAACAATTTTCTATACTGTTTGAGTAAAAAAAAACTATATTATTTATAGCTTTTTAAAAAAAAACTTACCAATATTTTGTCTATTTTATAGTTTTTTTTTTTTTTAATAATGTTTTAACCATCGACTGTTGTTCATCGAAGCGTTAATCGAGTAATGATTTTATCAGTTTTTCGTTAAAGTAATTTCAAAAAAGCTCCCATTCTGCAAAAAAAAAATATCTTTTTATAATTTCATATTATATTTTATTTAAATAATAGGTACCTATTTTTTGGCGTAGAAATTTGATGTACAACAATTTTGATTTAAAAAATGTCGTTAAGGTATTATATAAATATTATATATATATGAGGGACGAAATAACGTATTTTGTGTTATTAACGAATTTCATTTTGACCGCTATTGTATTCTGTTTTTTATTTTTTAGCTATTATTACATTAATTAGACTTTTACAATAGAACAGTTAATCTTGATCAGTCAATATTTCTCATATCCTTTTTTCTGTGAAATTCAACGTAATACAATTATTTTTATTGTACCAGTTTATTGTACCTCCATTCAATTGCCAGGTATATAAAAATAAAATAAAATATTTTAGCTTCGATGCAAAGCGAGAAGGTATTGGTTTTACTCTGATGTGTGTTTTTTTTTTTATCTGTATACACTGTAACTTTTTTAATACTGGACCAATTCCTTCGAATAGCAACTCTATAAATAGAAAATTTCATCTAGTTTGTACTTAGGGGGGGGGGGGTAAAAGTTGAAAAAGTTTAATTTTTCGCAGACGAAAGTTGAAAAAACAAAAAAAAAAACCGTACGAGTTTTTAAGTTAGAACTTTTACTGGCTATAGTTTCGAGAAAAAGAGTCGGATCGAGTTGAAATGTATAAGAAATATTTATTTGGTATGCCCGCGCACGTCAGTTGTGTCAAATTTAAACTATACCCATTTCCCACCCCCCTAGGGGGGGTAACAAGTTTTTTTGTTTTTCGGGGTTTTTAGCCGTAATTTTAAAACTTTTGGATTGAAAATTTGCCAGTATTTTGAACTCATATGTGTCCATAACATATTAAACGAGAAAAAAATTCGGCACTACAGTTTTTTTTTAATTGCCGGGAAACTGTGTTTTCGTAGATTTCGTATATTTTAACAAAAACACCTAAAATCTTTAAAAAAAACTTATTAAATCATTAAAACAATTTTATGTATATTTATGCAGAATGATACTATTAAGTTTTGTGCTCAATTACCACTTTTGACTTTAAGTTTACACAAATTCAATTTTTTTTTTTTTTTACTTAAGTTCTTTCTGGATGAAAAAACCGATCCGTGTACTTATTGAGACACTTAATGATTCTGACATGACAAAACCACTGTTGTTATCTCGTTATTTTATTAACCACGTTATATTACCGTACAGTGATAAAATCACTTTCGAAAAAACGCTTCGATGCAAATCGGTAGTTAGTATTTTCAAGCCAGTACAATCCAAACCAAGCACAGTATAAACCAGCAAAGTTAGAAAGTTTTAAATGAAGGTTCTGTACTTACAAATGAGCATCAAAGCCTTAATTTGAAAGTGATTTTATCCGAGAGGACTAGTACAGTAGAGTATTGGCATAATGTAATCAAAGCAATGAGGAAACGGAGAGGTCACAGGTCTACAAGAATTATTATAAATAAAAGTGATAAAATTGAATAAAATCGCTTTCAAATAAACGCTTTGATGCTTATTTGTAAATACAGAACCTTCATTTAAAACTTTCTAACTTTGCTGGTTTATACTGTGCTTGGTTTGGACTGTACTGGCTTGAAAATACTAACTACCGATTTGCATCGAAGCGTTTTTTCGAAAGTGATTTTATCACTTTCAGATTTAAAAATTCCTGTAAACCTGTGACCTCCCCGTCACCACTATGCCCCGACCCAACTATGCTCCGTCCCCACTATGCTCCGACCCCACTGTACTGTTTTTTTTTTCTTTCTTTTACTGGTTTTATCATGATGTTGTTTTTTTGTGTCTGTAGACACGATAACTTTTTTCCTGATTATCTATTTACACGTGCAGTACCACTTTTAGATCCAGAATTGTATGTAGACGGTACATTGGTCAAAAGTAGAAAAAGTCAACTCCTTAGGCCCCCAACCGTGGAAAAACCCCAACAAATTTGCCGGTTTTTCAACTTTCAACTTAAATTTGCTATAACTCAGCGAAACACAGTTGAATCTAGTCGAAATTTGTATAAAACAATAATAGGGCATGTCTCTATCTGCACATGTCCTCAAACCCCAATTTTGATTACCCCCGCCTCTTGAGGGTTTAAGGGTTTTTTTTTTTTTTTTTATAGGCGCAATTTTAGGTTTTAAGAGCTTGAAATTAGTTTAAAGATAGGTCTAATATATACCTATAAAATGTGTAGTCAAAAATTTTGTTTTACGATGAAAAAACCGTAAAAGTGACTTAAACACTATAAATGTTGGTTTTGAAGACTATTAAGGGTATAAAAACTCTTTTTTATTAAACTTATTCTTTAAGGCATTGCAAGGTTCCAATATTAAAGGTTTTGACATTTGTATGCTAAGTGCTATACAGTTTTCAATTAAATGTCCAAAAATAATAAAAATACCCTATCATGTCTTAATTCGCGCCAGAGGGGTTAAGTAACACTTGCCAAATTTTACCTAAATTACTTTCTCACATGACTAGGACAAATCTATGAGGAACGGACCAGTGTTGTCAGATGGTGGGAAAAGTGTGTCAATTTTTTATTTTTAAGAAAAAAATGGGAGATTTTCTTCTTAAAACGGAGTTTTGAAACATTGTAATCAAGTTTTAACTATTTAATTCAATACCCGGGGTTTACTGTGTAAACAAAATAACTCCTTTTAATTTTAATAAGTAGATACGTCCATAGTTAACCTGATTCGTAGCTATAAATGTGGCCACCGGTATATAATGACTATCACTCGAACATGTATGAATATAGTAATTATAAATTGTTGTAGTTCTGACATATAAACAATAATGGAACTTGAAAGTACCAATAGTTACTTCTGCTGAACAGTATTGTGATTTGTGATGTTCAAATTATTTTGCATTATGCACAAAACTAACTAATAGGTCTTAAAAACCGTTTTTTATTATTACTATAATGAAGTGTTGTGATATTCGTTTTCGGTCAAAAGTAGTTTTTTTTTTTTTGGTCAACATATTTTGGCGCGATGAAATTGTGATGAAAAAAGAGATATTTAAAGTCATCACTGGATAGTATATTATATACGCAACACTTGGCAACACTGGTACCGACTAAAAATAATTTAGTTTAAAAATGTCCTCTATAACGTACATTAGTAGGTACACCCTTGTGCAGTTTGACGATACAATATATATATATTGTGATATTTTTTAGATAAATATCAATATGGCGTCAAAAGGATCAATCGGTGGCTGGAAAGACAATGCACATGTTTACACCACGCCTAACGCTTGTTCGAAAATGAAGTTTTTGTTTGGAGATTCGTGGAAAGTTTATGTCAAAGGATTTAATTTTTCTGACACGGAATGTCCAATGAAACCGGTAAAATCTATTGTCAACGGGTTTACAAGACGTAATTATATAGGTTCATAAAATCGTCAAAAATATAACACAAAGAGTGTAATTAATTTTATTAGATTTTCCAATAATTTATACTGGGAATATTTGTTTTGTTGCTTCTACTACTTGCTACTTGCTACTACTCACTTATGTATCAAGTGGTACACAGGTGATTCATTTTAGGTAAGACGCTAATTTTCTCGGAAAATATAAACATTAAAAAAAAAATTTAATTTCCAACCCTTGTAATAAAAAAAAAGGTAGGACATCACTTTTTCAAATGGCAACATATGTTTTAAATTCCATAAATATGTAGACAATTTTTTTAAAAAATTGTTATTGTTTGATTTTTAAATTTTTATCCATTTGTTCGCTTGTTATAGCTTTGTAAAGATTTAAATTTTTGTCTATATTTCTTAATGTTTTCATTCGGTTCAACAAAGACAAGTAGTTTTATTACACCAGTCATCACATAAAATAATAATTTAATAGATAATATCCGCTGGTCAACCATTATCTCAAAACATTTTATTGTGTTTTATACTCGCCTTTCGGACAATGGAAGCATAAATAAGAATTTTATGGGCTACCAGTCTATGGGACACTGAAGAAATACGACAATATTTAGGAGAAAACGTAATGTCTTTACCAAGTCATAGCTAACGAACAGATGGTTGAAAATTCAAAATTCAAACGATAACATATTTTAAAAAAAAATTCTACATATTTTTGGAATTAAAAACATATGATGTTGTCATTTGAAGAAGTGGTTTTGGACCCTTTTCATCGTATAAAGGATACATACAAACATTTTCAAAGTAATAAAAAATATAGTACAAAGTGTATCTAAAAAAATTGGAAAAAAATAATATTAAAAATATTAATATTTTTGGAGAAAACTGGTGTCTTACCCAAAATGAATCACCCTGTACGTTCATTCTTAATGTGCTTGGTTGGGCCTGTACTGGTATTAACCATGATTTAAATATACCCGTGGTGACCTCCAACGCCCCAAGTGGCCAATAAATATATAATTCATTATTTTATCTTTGTTGTAGGGTACTTACGTGGCAACCGGAATCGACGTTGATAAAATGACGAACACTAATTTCCCCAAGACATTTTTTTACGGAGAGTATAAAATGGCATTTACGTTCACGAGCAGTAAAGGCGAAAAACTTGGCTGTACCGTGTTAGTTTTAGATATCTTGCGGCCGTGGGAAAATTAATCGTTATCGTTGTATTCATATAAAGATGTATGTGTTTTATATTATGGAATATTGTTCAATTAGTTTCCGTAAATGATTGTGTTCTTTTATTTTCGTCTATAAGTAAATTCGCTGTAAAAGCGATGGAAAACGGCCGAATATAAAATACAACACGAACAAAAAATTTCATACTTGGACAATTATCGACACGTGTTAAAGTAAAACTATTTAGTCTTGTATATTTTGGACCATTGTATAATTATTTGATGTTTACGCGATTTTTTTTATACTTTCAATTCAAATGCAATATTGATAAATATGAATAAAACACTATATTATAACGGTTATAATTTTTTCATAGTTTAAGTCCTCCATCTCATAGGGGTTCTTCCCACTCCCAATGAGTTTCATTATCTTGGTTTTCTCAGTATTAATTTGAAGACCCAATTTCTTCGTTTATGTAGTAATGGCGTGGTTAAAGTTGTTAATATCTATTTAATCGTTATTTTTAATTTGTTACTATTATTAAGTAGTCATTTTTATTTGATTGAAGATGCCTCTTTTCTATGTTAGCGTATGGCTTTATGAGCATACAAATTTCAGCTTAATGTCGAGTTTTATTAAATAATTACCTCTACAATGCGTCTTCAATAAATAGAGGGTTTGGCCGGTAACTTAAGAGTCAAAGGCCCCGGTGCAAAAAATTATTCATCGGCCCCCTACTTGAGTATTGTAAATTTAGTACATATAAAATGCATGTTATTTATTATTTACTAATAACTAAAATTGACATACTTTTGTACTTTGGTCTAAGTCTAAATATATTGGTAGATATTTTGTCACTTTCCAAAAATGAATAAAGATACCTATTGATGAATTTATTATAATTCATAGTCATTAAACAATGAATACGGTTTCCAACATCCGAAACGGACAAGAACTTCAAGAAGAAGAAACAATAAATACTGTATAATAATTAGTATAAAATATAAACTGTATATTTTTTTAATATTTAAAATTTAAACTATATGGTTGCTGACTGCATAGGCCCCCGTTGCAAAGGCCTAACGTCTACGCCTATAGTTTTTACAGCACTGGCTATGGTGTCTTACGTTACTGTTGTGAAAATATTATACTTATTTAATACAATTTTAACACGCTTATATTAGCTTCACTTGTATGTATGTTTGTATGTTTGTTTGTATGTAACTATGTAACTAAAAGAGATAGGCAACCGAACGTACATGCGTGTATTCATTGTTGTTTACCTGAAGTTTTCAAGTAATAGAGACACGTATGTACTAGAATTAAAAAACACGATTTTGAAGCACATCGAACTAAAAAGTGGAAAATAAATATAGTTAAAAAAAACTAAAAAACACGCTTAAATAGTAAAATAAACTAAAAAGTAGAAAATAATTTTCAATATAGAAATCAATTAATAAAAAATAAATAGTATTATTGTGAAAAAAGTGTGGGGCGCTTATTCAAGATCTTGATATATGTAGCGCCCCACGCATTTTTTCACAATAATACTATTTATTTTTTATTAATTGATTTCTATATTGAAAATTATTTTCTACTCTTTAGTTTATTTTACTATTTAAGCGTGTTTTTTATTTACCACTGATTTTTTGAAATATTGTGTGTAAATAATGTGTAATAAAATAAAACTTCCACTCCTTCCAGACGAATAGGTAAATCTTACTCTATGGTATTTTCTAACTTAGTTCATGATTATTTTTTGAAAACATTTTAACCGTGGGTACACTTCTTTTGTAGAAGCTCTACCGGTAGGTCCAATGTTTATTAATTATTATTTCAACAATACTTTCGTTGGAGCGTTGATATAATCGAATATGTCGATAAGCCCGCGCTTTTCAATATTCATCTTTACTGTATTCTACCTCCAGCCGGCCATCGCGGTTGCCACTGTTATCACCTATTCACGCAAACCACGGACTATAATACAGGACTGGAAACGACACTCATATCAATGGAACCAAAGTACAACGCTTGCTAGTACAAAAGCGCTCTTAACGCCATCTATAGATCAGTCAGTAATTGCACACAAAAATACTAAACAAAACAAGTTTAATACAATAATACAATATTCTCTATTATACATTATATTTAAAGTAACTAATTTTGCTAATTTTTCGTTTTTCGAATTAATTTTGTTTAGGTTTTTATTTTGTATGTTTGTCAACTGTTTCATCCTTGTACTCGTAGTAATAGGTATAATATTTACGAATGGACATGTAAGTACACTGGCGTTATTGTTCAACACATCATCAAATGTGTCTTGAAAGACACCTCTAGTCTCCGCACAATGTTTTAAAAAAGAGTTTTCTATTGTAGTTATTAATTTATGAAAATATTTATTTATTAATTGCCCCTGGATTTTAAATTGGTAAACGCAGCTTCGGATTTGCTTGAATAAGTCTTCCTAAAAATATTAATTTACACTAAGTCGTCAGGTAAAAAATGATTTTGACACACAAAATTTGCCACCGAACTTTTGCTATTCGCCTTTGAAATGGTTTGATTTGGAAATCAATTTTTTTCCTTGGGCCATTTAAATAGAGTGCATTTTATTGTATTGTTTAAAACACTTTTACACAAATGCACGCTACATTTGCGAGGCACTTTCGAAAATGTATAAAAATATTACTAAATTTTCTCATTATTTTGTCGGCCCTATTCCCGCCAATTCCGTATTAGGTTAGGTTAATCCACGGATCTTAATATTTTATTAAATTATAAAATACCACTGATTATAATAGTTTATTCACGATGTAGAGAAGATAAGGTGACACCACTCAACTTCTTATCAGTAAAAATCTTGGGTCGAATGCTTCAGGCATTTTGGTAGTTCAGCTTCGCTGTACAGGCGGCGCCACCATTCGCCCGGAGGCCGATATTTTCTATGCGGCTTATGGCGATAAACGTTATTTATTTATTTTTTTATGTTAATTATTCTTTATTTGGAGTTTTTATTATTTGTTTTGTTTTATTTAGTAAAAAGTATTTACTGTGTTAAATTTTAAATTGCGAAAACTGCATTTTTTAACGGCATTAAAGTAAATATTAGCACTGGTATATCACTGGTATATAGCTTTCATAATTAATTTTATTCTGATCCAGTCTTTGTCCAGGACTGAGGACAGTTATTACTTGTTTACTTCGTTATTTTAGCTACTCTGCGAATATAAAGTAGTTTACCAATACTAATTACTCATTAGTATACATAGTCATAATTTCTAGTTCAGCGTAATAGAGTAAAACAAAACATAAAACTATAGTAGAGAAATTGCCAATAAATCCAAAAGATCTACATTAATCAATGAATGTTATTTGTAAAAACGAATAAGATCAACAGTATTTTATATACCTTATTATACATTCCGCGGTATATTATGTAGACACAAAATATAAACAATCATTTGTGATGCAAATATCATCCCTAGGAACACATTGTAGAGATTATATCTCTGCTTCGTCCCTAGGAATTGCACGTATAGTTGGGCTTGAATTACACGGTAGTCGTGCTGTCGGAGACACTTAATTGGGGTTCATTAATGTAATAAATATCCACCTTACACAAGCGATCTTATTTTTCGCGGAGAAATTAAAATAATCGGAAAAAATGTATCTATTGTTACGTAAAAGCGTACTAAAGTGTGTTCACTCAAATGGGTAAGGCTCCTAACCTAACCCTCCGCCAGATGTATTAATATAATGTTATCCTAAATGACCCTCCGAGCCGCGTTTTAATATGCCCTACTTCATAAGTCCCTTTTAATTACCATAGAATAAGCTTTATCTTGTAAAAAATTCTAGTTTCACTTAGATTTTTTATGGAACTGCATTTTTCTTAAGACATTTTCGTGCAATTATTCTTTAAGACTTCACTAACTATAAACTCAATTTGAAAAAGTTCTCTGGTGCTTAAAATTCGATATAGAGAGGAGGGAGGGAGGAGGACAATTTTTTTCTTGTGTATAACACGTATTATTATATTGTACGTATTGTTACAAAAGGATAGTCATCGGTCGATCAAAAACGTCTTTTGTGGAATAGGAATTAGAATAAAATATAATACATTTAATTAGACAACACATACGAATATTGTGGTTTTTAAAATAATATACAATCAATTGTCCTGTATTAAAATTGAATTGTGCATGTAATATCTTTTTGTTTAGCAATAAAAACGACAGTAACGTATAATAATAAGTAAAAAACCCTAAGAAAAATATCAATCTAATAATAAAGGTGTCTGTGTTGTTTTTTATTTTTAGATTCTGAGCTAAGCGAGAAACACATCAACAGTATAATGCAACCAATAATATTTTTATGGTTTAATGTTTATTTGTTTACCAATAATATTGACTATATTTTTTATGCTATCAGGTGTAAAAATTATTTTTTAAATTTAACTAGGTTATTTTTATTGTATTCATCAAATCAATCGCTATGCCAATATTTAAGGAAACTACAACAGAACCTACTGTTTTAAATAATAAACATCGACCACTGACGCTGACTAAAATTACATTAGTTAAAGGAGTTATAAATAGAGTGGTTTTGTTTAAAACGTAATGGATATCGTTCAATTGGCTATTTATTTTAGTTCAATTTTCGATAAAATATTTCAGAAAATGCACTAATCGTATGTAAAAATTATTAATCTACAAATTTGTTCTCTATTATTTTTGTCGTAAATTCAACCATTTTAGCGTAAAAAAGAATTATAATGTGCCCATTGCTCTATATAGGTAATATTATGGCCAGTGACCACTAGCGCTATTAGCTCCAGTCAACACCGCTCGTTACTGCGAAATTCTATTAGACACATTGCGCGTGCGCCAACCTGAGTGGACAACCGTGGTGTGGCGTCACCTTACCTTCTCTACACCGTGAGTTTATTTGTTGAACCATTGAAAACTTTTTATTTAAATTATTCGGCGATAGATGGCGCACGAGGCGCGATTGACCCGGGAAGCGTTGTACAATCGGGCCACGCCCCGCACTCCGCCGACCCCCGTCCGTTCCCAGTGCTGTATTATGTGACGCAAACACACATACACACATCATTATCAAGTGTGCGGTAGCGTCCGTATCATGATAATGTATATTTTGCTGTCTCTGACTTACTCAAAGTTAATGATTTGTTTGAAACGGTCTAAAATAGTTGTACGTTTGTGAACATAATATTATAATAATAAAAAAGATTCAGTGCGTGGTTTTATACCTGTCGTTGGACGTTTTTAGGGATAAGAGCCTTCACCAATAATCTCATCGCATTGCTGTGTATTAGTAAGTACCGAGTAACATTAAGGTTTTACTTATTGATTTATAACAATTAATTAGATTATTTAGTTTATCGGATGGGTAATGCATTTTAAACAATTTCAATGTTTTTCATACATTCGTTTGTCGTGTAATTTGACTCGTCGAGTGAGTTGTGCCGTCAGTGGTCGTAGATACGATAATTGATAAGTAGTTACATATAGGAGAGGACTGTGGTTTCTTGGTTTTTTTTGAGTTCTATAATACAGAATTATAAAATATAACGTCATTATCAAGTGTGCGGTAGCGTCTGTAACATAATAATGTATTTACTGTCTCTGACTTACTCAGAGTTAATGATTTGTTTGAAACGGTCTGTTGTTTGTTTATAAACATGTTATAATAAGACAAAAGATTCAATGAGTAGTTTTACATCTGTCGTTTGACGTGTTTAGGGTTCAGAGCTTTGACAAACAATCACATCGTATAGCTGTGTGATAGTAAGTACCGAGGAACAATATGGTTCTATTTATTAGTTTTATAAAAATTAATTAGATTCTCTAGTTGACGGGTTGGGTAATGAATTTTTAAACAGTTGTAATGTTTTTAATCATTCGGTGTTGACTTAGACAGTAACTGTTGGTCATATGTGCCATCGGTGGCCGTAATTTACGTAAAGGTTTCGACTGTTTTTCCGTTAACAGTCGATTATCTATTTACATTTAGTGTGAATAATATATTATTATTATGGTATTTACTGTTTAAATTGTTTTATAGTTTTTTTAAACTACCTACAAAGAGTAAGTGTTTTAATTTTGAAAACGGTTTAATGTTTTAAAAATGTTTACATGACTTGAATGAGTTTTAATTTCAAACCGTTATAACGCCATCTTACAAACATACTAAATGGTAGCAAGCCGAGACAAATTTTAGTTCTGTACTACAATACGGGATGGACTATTAGTATTATTTAATATTTTCAATATAAACGATACTACTAATGCCCATAAACGTATCAGTGTACAAAACTAAAATTTGTCTGTCGGTTGGCTATCTAAAATACTTATAATCTTAAATAGAAACAATTGTTTGGTTGAAGTTGTTAATATCATTATTTTTAATTTGTTACTATTATTAAGAATTCATTATTTTTTATACTAAAAATTATACATTTTTTCTAATTATTTGCTATAATATGCCATAAAAGAAATAATATTTTTTAATGTATTTAGAGAAAGTGGTAACTAATTAATATTTTATGGAGAAAGAAAATTCATATTGTGTTGTATTACATTTTTTAAGAGTGGATTATTTTTTGATAGTAAGATCTTACTCAACCGACTAAAATTACGATCATTGAATCAATGTTTTAATTTTCTTGAAAAACCTCTAGGACTTTATTTGGCTATATTTTTCTTAATAGTTTGCCTGCACTCATATTTTATTTCAATTTATTTAGACTCAGGCTATAATCATTTTTAATAAAGAAAAACGTTACTTCTCGTCTTAATTTTTAATATACTCTCTGTTTTTTAGAGTTGAACTAGTGAGAATCAAAAATACCAAAAATCACTACTAAAATGGATGATTACAACGAGACCATGATCAAAATAGAGGAAGACGAGGACGTTAAACAGTATTTTAACGAAGCCCTAATGAATGAACCAGAGCTGAATCACATTGAAGATACACGCAACAGTTCTCAGACAAACTATACCGATTATCAAAAAACAATTGACAGGTATGCATATAAGTTATGTGATTTTTAAAGTTAAATACTTTAAATACATTTTGTACGAAAAAAAATGTAACTTAATTAAAATTAGGACAGGCATTCTATTGCGCACTATTTAGCGTGATTGGTTAAATTTTAAAACAAAAGCTGAAGACAGTCTGGTTTGTATTCACATAGTTTACTTTTGTTTGTACATTCTGTTAAACAACTGTCTTTAATTTGTCTTAAATCGTTTAGAATTTTAATATCACTGTCTCAGCCTAGTTTGGGTTTCAATAACTAATACATAAATCCGGTACGATCTGGCTTATATTAAATTTTTTTCGGTCGGGTTAAAAATGCAATGAAAAACTGGTTTGTGTTTCTATAAAAAATGCTTATTGAGGGCTAGCATGGTCCGAGCTTTAATAACCTAATTTTGTTCCAAACTTAGTTGGTCTGACTTACAAAATATTAATTTTTTAGTAAGACCAGACCGAATAAATAGTTTTTTTTAAACTGTATTGCCCGTTCGGGTCCCATTTTTTTAGAACTTGACACTACTACAATCTAAGGCTATTATTTTAGAAAATGTAATTTATTTTTTAGACTTAGTGAAGCAGAAGAAATTAAAATAGAAATAGGAGAAACGGACAATTATTGTTTTAAGCCTGTTTTTGAAGTGGAAGAAGAAAATGAACAAGGGAAAGAGGAACAAAACACAATCGACGCGAATGGATACAAGTAATATAATTTTTATAATAATATATTTTAAATACAAGTATTGAGGTTACTTATACATTTATTTGATGTATATTTCCTTATTTTAAAACTATAACACTATTCTCACTAACCAATATTTAAAACATATCCAAGTATAAAATTTAACCAATATAATTTTTAGAAATGTTATTACTTTAATTACACCCAAAGAGAACAACATCAACTATAAACTCACTTTTTTATTATGTTTTTTTTTTAGTTTTTATTATTGTTGTATTTATGTTGTTTATTAAACAAAAGTAATTATTACAACATATTTAACTAATAATTAGTAAAAAGTTTAAAAGCAGCCATGTGTTAACTGTTACAGAGGAAAAGTAAAAGTATATTGAACAAAATAAGATTGTAGGTTATAGTACAGTGTTACCCCTTATACAACATCCCCCCTTTTTTTAAACAATTTTTTTTTTTTTTTTTTAATTTAAGAGCTAATATAGTAATATAAACAAACAATACATACATAACCAAATAATAAATTTTACATTTCACATAATGACATAAAAATAATAATAACATAATAACAACAATGATAATAATAATAATCATAATTACAATAACAGTCTTTGAGGAATTTTTATTTGTCTCCCACTTTTAGTAAACCTATCTTTATTACCAAAAATTTGGAACCATTCAGGGATAATTATTTCATCATCACTATAACTACTACCACTAATATTTTGTTTATTATCTAATACTTCACCATTATATCCACCAGCAATTTCTTGTGGTGTCCCCTCATAAATTAGGATCTCTTCATTCGGATCTTTACCCTCTGCATACATATCCAATAAAATATCATCATTATCAACATCTTGATAAGCACCTACTCATTTCGCATGTCTCAGGTGTGTTGAAGTTCTTCGTACCACTCTACCATCCCCTTGAACCATGTACGAGCTAGGATTAATAGCGTCTTTACTCATAACAGTACCCGGTGTCCATATTGATTTATTCCAAATCATTACCTCATCACCTTTTTTAAACTCTTTTCTTTCCCTAGCTGTTTTATCATAATAGCTTTTGTACTTTTCCTTATACTCTTTTTGTCTTTCATTTACTCCAGTCCAAACTTTTGGCTGCAATTTAGACTCCAGAATGGGAAATTTAGTACGAATTAATCTACTCATTAAGAGCTCACAAGGTGCTGCCCCTATATGTGGTATCGTAGTGCAACGATATTCAACTAACAAGTCACTTAAATCCTTTCGGTCACTCTGAGCTTTTCTTAACATCTGTTTTGCTGTTTGCACTGCTCGCTCTGCCATACCATTTGATCGCCGGTAATTAGGGCTTGAGGTTCTCAGCTCTATATTATATGCTATACAAAACTGGCGAAACTCAATTGATCCAAATGGCATGTTATCAGAAAAAATTAATCTTGGACAGCCGTGAACACTCATTACTACTCTAAACTGTTTTATCATTTCAACTGCAGTTTTTTGTGTAATTTTAACTATTTCTAACCACTTAGAATAATGATCTACTATCACCAAGAAATCAGAGCTAGCAAACGTCAATATATCACAACTTATTATTTCAAAAGGCAACTTTGGCAGCTCATGGTAGATTAATGATTCTTTAACATTAGAATTCCTAAATTTTGAACATATCCTACAACTATCTACAAATAATCTTATTTCATTATCCATGGCAAACCAAAACATCAACTGTTTTGCTCTTAACAATGTTTTAAGTACTCCATTGTGTCCCTCATGAACTAGCCTTAATGCAACAGGTTTCAATTTACTCGGTATTATTATCCTATCCTCAAAATAGACTACCCCCTGTTCAACACTAATACTATCTTTTAAGTTCCAATATTGTCTAATGTTATCTGGCAATTGTTTTTTTTCCTTAGGCCAGCCACTTGTATAAACTTTTATCACCTCACTCAACTCAACATCATTTTCAGTCTCCTTTGCTATTTCCCTAATATTAGTATTCTTATATTCAATTGCATGTATCACTCCCTCCAATTCTTGCTCTCCATCATCCTTATCACATATATAATTTCTAGACAGTAAATCTTCAATAAACATTAACTTGCCAGGCAAGTATTCTACACATAGATCATAAATTATAAGTTTCATTTTCATTTTCTGTAACCACACTGAAATCACTTTATTAAAATTTTTTTTAAAAATTGAAACTAAAGGAGAATGATCTGTCAATATCTTTGTTTTATGGCCATATATATAATTGTGAAATACCTTACAAGCATTTAAGATACTTAACATCTCCTTTTCAATCTGAGCATATCTTTGTTCAGCCTCATTTAAACTTCTTGATGAAAAGGCAACCGGTCTATTCCCTTGTAGCAGACAACATCCTAATCCCGTTTGTGAACTATCACATTGTATTGTTATCTCCTTTTCTGGAACAAAATTCACCAATACTTGAGAACTTGCAACTATTTGCTTCACTTTGTCTAATACTTCAGTATGAGCTTCACTCCACAACCAACTAATATTTTTTTTTAATAAGTCTCTTAGAGGTGTAATTAATGTAGACATGTTTGGTATAAACTGTCGTAGTTAGTTAAAAGCTCCTAACAACCTCTGTAACTCCAGTTTACATTTAGGTGGTTTTAAAGACATTAACGCTTTAATTCTGTCCTCATCTGGTTTCATTCCCTCACTGTTAAACACCATACCAACATACTTAATCTCATGCCTTTTATATTTTATCTTATCACTATTAAATTTTATATTTAATTTTTTTGCCCTTTCTAATACTTGTATTACTACTTCATCATGCAGTTTTTCATCCTCTGTTGCTATAAGCAAATCATCAAAGTAGATGTACACATTTTTAATGTCGCCAAAACACTCTTGATTTTTCTTTTGAAATTCCTCAGGTGCACACGACAAACCAAAGGGTTATCTTGTAAACCTGTAAAAACCAAATGGTGTACTAAAGGTGCACAAGTAACTCGACTCTTCATCTAATTTGATTTGCCAAAATCCAGTCTTCAAATCAAACAACGTAAACCATTTCTTATTGTATAAATGCATTCGTAACTCTTCAAGAGTGGGGATTAAAAATTGATCTCTTATTACTACTTTATTCAATTCAGTGGGATCTAAGCACACACGCAAAGATTTATCTGGTTTTTCAACAATAACTATATTACTCGACCATTCATGAGGCCTTTCCACTTCAACTATCACGCCCATATTACACATTTGAGACAAAGTATTTTTTAATTCACTTTTAATGGATTCTGGGACACGCCTAGGAGGATTTAACCTCGGTTCACTGTTTTCCTTAATTCTTATCCTATATTCTCCCGGAAAACAACCCAGTCCATTAAACACATCTTTATATTCATTTACAAGTACATTCAAACAATTATTGGACTCAACGCTTTCTATCTTAGACCTATTAATAAAACCAAACTTAATACATGTATTTAATCCTAGTATAGGTACACATTTACTTTGACTATCATCTACAATAATGAACCTGATATTAATAGATTTTTTATCTATAGTTTCACATAAAAGTTCAACTGTCCCCATACTTTTTATATCAAATCCACCATAGGCCTTAATCATAATATAAGTATTACTCAATTTTTTCCCACAATTAATTTCTTTAAAAATACTATATGGTATTATATCAATATCTGAACCCGTATCTAATTTAAAATAAATGAGATTATTATTATTAGGTTTAATGATTTCAGTCCACTTTTTTTTGTTCAGTTTTACACTAATATTTCCTATTTCAATAGACAATATATCAAACAATTTATACTTAGGTTCATTATAGCTTACATAGTTATTATGCATATCCTCACCAATGTTATTGACCTCTTTTCGTTGTTGTTCTGTGTCTTTATTAGCTTGGCATCCCACCAAAAAATGATTTAATTTTCCACACTTAGCACACATCTTTCCAAAGGCAACGCATTTCCTATATCCATGTCGTCTTCTACACTTCTTGCAATCATAATCCATATCCATAGACCCATTATTGTTCTTATTGCGTCTTAACTTGTCTTGCTGTCCACTGGTTTTAAAAGTTGACTTACTTTGCAATTCAGTTTTATGTACGGCAACTTCTTCATTTTTATTCAGCACTGTTTGCTGATATTTTGCTGTTTCTGCTGACTTGCAATGTTCTATCATTCTTTCCAGGGATAAGTCAGGTGCTCTTAATAACCTTTCCTGCAGTGCATGATTCCGTACACCAAGAACAATACGAACTTTTACCATGGAGTCCTCTAGGTCTCCAAAATGACAACGCTTTGCAATGGTTTTGACTTCTCTAAGAAATTTATCAAATGTCTCAAACTCTTCTTGTTTTCTTTGGAAAAACTTGAACTGCTCTATTATGACATTAAATTTAGGTTCATAATATTCCTGTAGTACTTTAAATATTGTGTCTACAGTCGCTGTTGAGTTAGTTACATTCAACGTTTCCAACAATTCAAAGGCATCATCGCCTATTACACTCAACAATACTGTAACCTTAAGGTTTTCAGTTTTTTCATCCAGCTCATTGGCTCTGAGGTACAGGTTAAACTTATTTTTAAATAACTTAATATTATTAATTACTGTACCCACATCATTAATGTCCAATGGTGCTGGAGCTGGAACAATTGATCCTCCTGCATTCGACTGCGCCATGTTGTATTTATGTTGTTTATTAAACAAAAGTAATTATTACAGCATATTTAATTAATAATTAGTAAAACGTTTAAAAGCAGCCATGCGTTAACTGTTACAGAGGAAAAGTAAAAGTATATTGAACAAAATACGATTGTAGGTTATAGTACAGTGTTACCCCTTATACAACAGTTATAACTTAATTTTACAGATTTTCTGATTCTTTTTAATTAATATACTTTTTTTAATTATATTTTATAATTAAAAGTTATAAGAAAAAAAAGAACAGGAGATAGAGCAAAGAAAGACAATTGTCAAGAATGCAGACAAGTAATATAATTTTTAGAATAAATTAATTTAAATACACGTTAATAAATAAAAATATTGAGGTCACCCATAATATTTTATTTTCAGTAGCAGGACACGATTAAATGCATTTTTTAAATCTAATTTCCCTTTTTTAAAACTATTATACGTGACACTTTTCTCAAGAACCAATAATTAAAAACACATACTGTTAATATAACATATTTTTTACCAAGACATCAACAATCTTGAACTACGTTCGGTTTAACTGTATACTCACTTAATGATTTACTAGGTACATGTAATTTAGACAAAATCATCAACATTTTGGGAAGAAAAATAATTATTATATTATTTTTATAAATAGAACTATATTTTTAAATGGTAACATGTGATAATATATGCGCGTTTTTCAAAAAACATAAAAATTAACTTATTTTGAGAACAAAGAAATGCATGATTTTTAGTACTATTATTTTCAACCATTATAGTCTTTTCTGTGTTAAATACTTCAATATAGGCTTTAAATATTTAAAATTAAAAGAAAAAATTGCGGAGAGCAACAATATGTACGAATACATCACAGCCCGAAGAGACTAGTGGGATAACTGACCATACAGGCTTTATGAATATTACAAGCGTATCTCCTTGAGTTGCTTGTCTAACAAAATCATATTGCTGTAAATATTATAAATATTTTAATACATCGCAATTAAGTTCATTTTTGGCTATAACAAACGACAACAACATTAACTATAAACTTACAGTTTATTATGCTTTTTTTTTAGTCATTATAATTTTTTTAAATATATTTCATTTTTTAGGTATTTTGAATCGAAAATCAAAGATGTGGACAGAACAAATTATTACTACGGGACAGTGAACAAAAATGACAAAGACGACGAGGATATGGAAGCGGAGTTAACTGAAACCTTTGTAGAAGAAATAAAATCGACTAACATTGTAAACTCATATGACAGTTGCGTGACGGAAGTGAACGATTTTCAAAAAATATACAAGTAATTTGGTTTTTTTCATTACATATCGTAACTAAATACCTAATTATAAAGTAGTAATAAAAGATTGCATAGTCACTATAAACGATTCATTCATTAAAATGCATTACTCGCTGCTGGTATTAACTATTTCAATTTTGAGATTTTTATTAAATCATTTTTAGTGACAGAGAAGTGTGCAATACAACGGTGGTTAAAGTCGAAGTCGATTTAGTAGATGGAGATTATTACGAATCCTTGATTGAAGTTGAAGAAAATAATCCTTTGGGTTTGCAAACGACCGACTACAATTTGGAAAAAATACAGCAATTTTTCTGTAATATATGTAAGAAGTCTTTTAACGCCAAATGGAAAATGGTCCAACACATAACTCGATCACATAGTGTATCTTCTTCGACCCAGAAAAGCACTAAAAATCAGATCATCAATAAAAATATTATGTAAGGCAATATTTTATTTAATGTATTAAATTATAACTTGTTTTTTCGTTAAAAAGAATTGATAAAAAAATTTAAAAACTTATCTATAATTCAACAGTGTAAGTTTAAATTAACTAATAAGTAATACCAAAAAAAAGAAATGGAGAGCGGCAAGTAAAAAACCTGAAAAATATTCACTTTTGTGAACAATTAAAAAAAAATTTTGGAAAAAAAAATATTCGTCCCTATATTCTTACATTTTCTAGTTGTATCGTTATCTATATTTCTATCTATTCATCCGGATGACTCAAGATTATTAAGAGGAATTTTTTGTAAATCAATCTTTATTTTTTTAAATAAAAAATTTAGTCATTATGTACAAATGTGAAAATAATATGATTTGTTTAAACGTTATTATTTACTGTTTTGGTTTTTTTTTTTGTTGTAGGGTAAATAACAAAATCAATGGTTGTCATGTTAAACCTTGGACAGAAAAAGAATACAAAAACCAAATAGCACCAAACGATAACAACTCGGGACGTAAACCATACAAATGTACTGTTTGTTCAAAGTCATGTTATTCAAATGCAGACCTCATAAAACATAATCGCGTGCACACTGGAGAGAAGCCCTTCCAGTGTTTGACATGTTTAAAATCGTTTACTGAAAAATCCACACTTACAAAACACCACAAACAAATCCACTTGGGTGAAAGACCATACCAATGTGCTGTTTGCTTAAAGTCATTTTATTCAAAATTAAACTTCACAAAGCATAAACGCCTGCACACTTATGAAAAATCCACTCTCAAGGGACACGAGCGCGTGCACACTGGAGATAAACTTAATGAATGTGCTGTTTGTTTAAATGTAATTTCTTCACACTCGGACATGACAAATCATAAACGCGTGCACGCTGGAAAAAAGCATATCGAATGTGCGGTGTGCTCAAAATCGTTTTCGCAAAAAGCCATTCTCACTAGACCCTATAAGTGTACTGTTTGCCCAATAGCATTTTTTCGAAAAGACCACCTCATAAATCACGAACGAGTACACACTGGCGAAACCCCCTATAGTTGTACTGAATGTTCAAAATCATTTTCCCAAAAGTCAAACCTCACTAGACACAAACGAGTGCACACTGGCGAAACCTATAGTTGTGCCGAATGTTCAAAATCTTTTTCTAAAAAATCATCACTCGCTAAACACAAAAAACGCATTCACACTGATGAAAAGCCCAGCTACAGATGTGCTGTATGATTAAAGTCATTTTATGAAAAATCCACTCTCGCCAAACACGAACTCGCGCACAAAGGACAACAGCTATATATTTGTGATGTTTGTTTAAAAATCAGACCTCGCCAAACACACGAGTACACACTGGTGAAAAGTTCTACTAATGTACAGTCTGCTCGAAGTCGTTTTCTTCAAAAACAATCCTCAAGAAACACGAACGACTACACACTAGAGAGATGCCTTATTTCTGTCTTGTATAATAATAATATTATGTATTTTTTATATTTTTATATTTTTACTAATTATCTTATACATCGGTTTTGTTACAATCGTTTTTTTTTTATATTGCTTGTTGCTTACTGCTCATGCTTCACGAGACAAAACTAATTCGTGACATTTTTCTTTACTTTTGAAATAAAAATTATGTTTGTCGGATGGAAATCCAAAAAGTAAATCTGGTCTATGAGTTGTGAGTTATTTTTACCTGCAGCCGAATTTGATTACGATAATAGCAGAATACACGATACTTTAAAGCAGCAGGCTTATGACGTGTTAAATAATAGTGCTAGAACAACAATAAGTTTCCCGAATAAAACAAGAAAACAAACTTGTTATACACTCTGTTGAAGTAAGTTACATAAAAAGCAAGAGGTTCAAATAAATAATATTTTTAAACCGTCGTACATGTAACAGGCCCTTCGAGCGGGTCACTTAAAATGTACCAAATATTTAGTCTCATAAAATTTAAATTAAAAATCATCTCCCACCCCTTCTAGGAGAATATGTAAATCCCACTCTTTGATTTTTTCTTACTTTTTTTATAATTTTTTTTTTTTTGACATTTTAACCGTGGGTATACTTTTTTTGTAGCACCTATACAGATAAGTTTAATGTTTTCCAATTTGTATAAAAAAAATTCAAATCACTTAAAACAGTTAAATAATTAATTAAAGGGAGGTCACAGGTCTACAGGAATTATTATAACAGCTGATAAATAAACGCGGCGGTGCGAATCGGCGAATAATAATTGATTCTATGTGTAATTTTCCCCTATTTGTTGGATTTTCCTTTATAAAAATGTATTTAACTACAGATTATTGAGAAAATTGTATCTGCTATAGTTTCATTCTAGATCTATCTACATTTGGTCTAATTTTCAGACTTAAATCCCAAAAACTTTGCTTGAAAAAGTGTAATAAAGAAAACGATTCTATACCTTATTGGGGAAAGGGTTTATGATACATTTTTTGGATTTTTCGTGTTTATGGGTACTATTGACATGTTTAAAGAATATTCCCTACTAATTTGAAACTAATTCGAATATTTTTAAAAAAAATTCAGAGCATCGTAAATTTTTTGGGCGTTTTTCGTGATTTTGAAGGGCAAGAAAGGGTACATTTATTTAACTTATGGCCCAATAAAGTGTACCTTACATGTACGATATTTATGATCTATAAAGTTGCTAAACGAAAAAATCACAGGGTACAGACACAAAAAAAATTAAAAAATAAAAACATCATTGTAAATACAATACTTTCTCAGCTTCGCATCGAAGCTAAAATACGATGGATAATCGCTAATAATATTTTAGCTGGAGTGTGTACAATTGAACGTATGAAAGCCCGCGCTTTCAATATTTACCTCCACTGTATTCCACCTCCAGCCGACTGTTATCACCTCTATCACATACACAAAAACACACACACACAGACATCATTATCATGGCGTCGCAATGTAAATGTTTTGGTATCCAACTTTTTTTAATAATATTCAATACTTTTATGTCCATAAGCATAGCGAAAATTTGACTTCGTGTGTGATTCTATACCTGTTTTACCTGAGTTCAGATCCTCGTGATACATTCCTATTGTATAGCCGTGTATTAGTAAGTACCGTGTAACATATTGTTTCTATTTGTTTTTGTATATAAATTAATTAGTATTTTACGGTTTACAAGTTAGGCATTGAATTATTGATTAATTTAAATAAATTTCATACATTCGTTGTTGACTTAAAAAGTTATAGTCATATGTGTCATGGGTGGCCGTAGGAATAATAGCTGATTAGAATGTACGTAAAGGTTTCGACTGTATTTTCCGTTAATAGTGATATCTATTTACATTGTAATAACCTGGATCCTTGATGATCAGGTTGATTTAGGGAGATGGTTTTGTATAATAAAATAAAAACACTGAATATATTTCAGATTAATTATTAATTACAAAAATAATCACTAACAACGTAAATTATTAAATATCACAGCTGTCATATTTTAGCTAAGTATACTAATTGAGTGTTTTAGTTTGTCCGTCCAATCTATGTGTTTAACTCCTATTCATATGAGAAAATGTCGTGGGTAATCGTGTGTTGTGTAATATTTATAAACTAATCACTATGGGATTTTAGATAATATTGTCATCATGTACAAGGATTGACGCCACCGCGGACGTGCGAATCGAATATTTGTAACTTATCAGTGTGGGTTTCAAATAATAGTGGCTTCATGTGTGAGAACGGACGTGCGATTGCCCGTTTGCATATACTTCCTCGGTTGTGGCTAACGCGGATTGTATCACGCTTCCGTCATTGCACAATTGATTATAATATTATTATTTAATAATAATTATTATCTTTACCACATTGATATAATATATATGTACTGTATATGTGTATATGTTCGTGCGTGTGGTGAAGGACAGCGTCCGTAACAATGTTTAGTGTGAATAATATATTATTGATATGGCATGTACTGTTTAAATTGTTTTATGTTTTTCTTTATATCGTCTGTAATGTTCTTACCTTATCAAACAAATCGTTTTCTCATTATTATGAGAAGAATATACTAACTACCGTTGCGATGGCAAAAGTCAGGTAACATTCAGTATAGTAGCGTTTATTATAAATATTATAGTTAGCCAATCTAGACACATTTCAGTTATGTACGCTGATACGGGACAGACGCTAGCAGTATTATTTTCATCTGTGAATAGAAATAACATTTGTCTCGGTTAGCTATCTAAAATAATCATAATCAATATGAGTAGCAGTAATGGCTTTATTAAAGTTGTCATTACCAGTTTATTAGTTGATTTTACTATAATTAAGTAGAGAAGGAGTGCTGTTTGCATAAGGCGTTGTGTGGGTTTGTTGCTCAATGTCACCAGTTTGATACTCGGTCATGACCGCTTATTTTTATGTATAGTTATGCAAAATGTGTATAAAAAAAAAAAAGATTACAACTGTGTATTATTTTTTACTGGTTATGACAACTAATTCAAATGCCAAAAATTGTTATTGTTGTCATCTATTCGGGTCAAGTGTACGACAGCTTCTAAAGGTTTGACTTCCTTGTGAACAATGTTTGTGCTTTATTTTGCAAAAAAGTCTGTCTTCACTCACTGTTTAGCAAAATGTTGAGTAAATGATTTAGACTCAGGCCATTATCATTTTTAATTTAAAAAAAAACAGGAGTTCTTGTATTAATTTTTGTAATTACGCTCTGATTTTAGAGCACTAGTGAGAACCAACCCAGAGTTAAAATGGACGATTATAACCACGGAACCATTATCAAACTAGAAGAAAATGAGGACGAGAAAGAGCAGTTTTCTGAAGCCATATTGGAAAAAAATGAGCCAAATCACATTGAAAAATCTCCGACAAACCAAAACGATTACCAAAAAACAATTGACGGAGATGCATATAGGTAATGTAACATATTGTTACTAAAAAACAATATACCCCGTTAGATGAATAAGTCATATCTAAATAAAATTATTAGTTGACACTCAGTGTGAATTTATATAAAAAGATATAACCAATTTATTTTTAAAAAATAACCACCAACTCTTTTAGAACATATTAAGCTGATAGTTTTACATTTTATATTTTATTGAAGTTTAACTAAATAATAAATTGGAATATTCAAACTGTGTGTCGCGTCATTCAGGGGCGTTGCGTGAGTAGGTTAAGGCAGACGTTGAGGTCATAGATTTACGTATATCGTAGTGGAAAGTAAAAATTTGAGAGCCGTCAAAATATGACGGCTAAATATGTTTGATATTATATTGAGTTTTAATAAAATAATTTATCTGAGGTATTCAAACAGTTTTCAGACAACCCACAATGATCCTGAAAAAACAATTGACAACAATGCATTTAATTAATAACAATTTTGAATTAAAATATTTTACACATTTCGTTTCAAAAAAACAATAACCTAAGTCGATAGTTATTTACACATTAAATGGATGATGAAATATTTTACGCTAATATGTTTAGCATATAATATTGAGTGAACGCCAGTGGATATAGTATTTAAATAAAAACATAACACGAATAAATTAAACGATTAAACACACTACTATCACAAATAAGATAAGACAGATAGTTTTATCTAATCTGTGCTACTATTGTCAAACACATATAGTAATTACAATGATAGATAATATTATTACATAGAATATAATAAAACAGTGTAACAATAATACACACATGTTATACACATAAAAAAAGTTACAGATAGAATGATGCCCTGAGCTCTTACAAACAAACTAAAACCACAAGTCTGACAAAACCTGGTGTTTAAAAAAAAATTTTGGTTTTCTAATAACATTTTCCTGTTTACTAATTAAGTATTTGTTTGCGCCACGCAATCGACTAGCGTGTTAAAAGTGGACTGTATAAATCGGAAAACTCTTTGGTTACACTTTTTAATATTTTTTAATAATAATAACACATAAATCTTATCTAATTAAAATAACCAATTTATTGTTCATTAACACAATTACGAAAAGAATCACTTATAATATTAATATTTTCGCCGGCAACGCGCCTATTTTGCTTGACCATCGGGCGGTCACTGGTCGCGAACCGACCCCCCACCACACTACTACCAATCAGCTGATTGTGCCTGAACATGTGGGCCCCTTTGAACCCTGAGGTTCAAGCGACGTACTCCAGAAAAACAAATAGTATTATGCGACATATTTCTCGAAGAATCGAACAAGAAAACAATCACCATTGTGTTTAGACTAATGAGCGGGGTAAAATTGGTGAGAGAACGGACGATATACCTAAATGCATGAGTGACATTTTAAATCAACATAAACAATCGACGCGAAGGACACAGTATAGTTTATACAATAACCACACTTACACGTATAGAGGACATGTAAATTTAAAACAACGGTAATATAAATTCAAAAGTAGCACCAAATTAACAAATTAATAATAAATAATAAACAGATTTTATTATTTTTTTTTTATTTTACAATGGGTAGCTGACATAGATATCGTAAAGTCCTTTTTTTTATTC